GACCAAGCCAGAGACACTGAGCGAATGCCAGCAAATGGAGTGCACCCAACCAACATGGAGGGTCAGTGAGTGGAGTGACTGCTCGGTGACTTGTGGTGTCGGGTCAAGACAGAGGACAGTCACCTGTGAAGACGATACTGGAGATGAGATGCAGGATGAAGAGTGTTGGAGGGAGGAATCAAAACCAGACTCACAGAGAGAGTGCCAACTGACAGAGTGTATAAGACCTAAATGGACAGTAGGAGATTGGAGTGATTGTTCGGTCACCTGTGGTGTTGGTTACAGAGAGCGAAGAGTGAGCTGCATCGAATTGGAAAATGAGAAGGAGGACAAAGAGTGTGAGGCAAGTGGGATTACCAAGCCAATATCTCAGACAGATTGCCAGCAGGTCCAGTGTCCAACCTCAAGACTGAGATGGACCGTTGGAGATTGGACCAAGTGCTCAGTAACATGTGGCATCGGCACCCGAGAAAGAATGGTTACCTGTGAAGACGCAATGGGAATTCTAGAGCCTGACAAGTGCGAGACTGATGGCTTACCCAAACCTGCCACACACACTGATTGCCAGCAAGCTTTTTGCCCAAGGCTGAGACCCAAGTGGGTTGTTGGTAACTGGAGCCAGTGCTCTGTGACGTGCAACAAGGGATACCGGAGTCGGACAGTCAGCTGCGAGGATGCAGCAGGAGAAGAGAGACAGGAGGAGGAGTGTGAGATGGAGGGAATGGCCAAGCCTGCCTCAGTTAAGGAATGTCGTCTGGAGACTTGCCCGAGACCAAAGTGGAGAGTCACTAAATGGAGTGATGTAAGTATAGGGATAGATCCAAGATTGTGCTGGATTGCCTGCAGAACATGAGCAAAAGCATCATGTAGGAAAATAATGGCTTTCATAATTTTGCCGTTAGACTTTTGAGTGCCCAAGAACCAGTGAACACATGTCACATTTACATCATACTTAACGTAAGGCTTTCGGAGGCTTGCCCTTCACAGCATTACAGAGGACATTTTAAAAATGGTCGAAAAAGTCGGATAGAATACAAACTCAGCTCAGTGTACTTTTATTTGAAATTGAATGAAGAACACACCACTGTTCACAAATAAAAAGCACAAATGTTGAGATGTCCATGGGTTGTGACGTTTCAATGAGTAACAATCATGATAATAAACATAACAGGTTTTTATACAGTGCTTTCAACTGAGATCAAAGCCTTTTCCACTACCCCCATTACCCCTTTTCATTGGGCCCAGTAAATATTCCTAATTCCATCTCAGCTCCCTTGGGAGTATACAGCTTGAAAGCCATGTTAAAAAATAGATGGCTCAGAGAGAAAGGAGGGCTTTCTTTTACCCCCCCCTGATCTTTTTTCCCAAAGATTGAGAATATTCTCATTACTTTCTGTTTTCTTTCAGTGTTCAGTGACTTGCGACAGAGGTGTTCGAGTGCGACAAGCCACCTGCCAGCTGGGAGATCAGGTAGTGGAGGAATCGCTGTGTCTTCACAAGAAACCCAAGACCTCCAAGAGATGCAAACGGTCCCAGTGCATGAAGTACCGCTGGAAGAAGGGCCGATGGAGTCAGGTATTGCTGAGTGGAAAGTTCTTCAGGTCATTTTTTCATTGTTGTACACAGCACATGAAACAGTGATACAGTTATCGGGTTGACATCCAAATGTATTAAGTATGGTTATATAAATGAAACAAAAGTTGTACAGTTGTACACGTTTGGAAGATGAGAATAAGAATGTGCAGTGTCATAGTTTTTAATCTGGCATCAGGATTTTTGACACGAAAAATCTGTATTTCCATGGATTTAATTATTCTGGTGTGCTTCTTTTATGCATCCCCCGCCCCTAAAACAATACAAATAGTTGCAAGATACTATGTACTCATGGCCTTTTTTGGAGAACACCCATGCTTTGTAGCTACATGCATTAATAGTCCTGAAAAGTCTTGTGATTTCACTATTGCAATAACTACAACCCATCAACTATGTACTGTGGATTGCTTTTAATCTTTCCAATCTCATCCCTGCGTATCTGTTCCTTGTCTTGTTGCAGTGTTCCAAGTCTTGTGGTGGTGGTCGCAAGTTTCGGAAAGTCCACTGCACTGACTCCAGAGACAACGAAGTGGACAATGGTCTCTGCGCAGTGGAGCACATGCCCAGAGACAACAATAAGTGCAATACTCACAGCTGTGACGCACCCTGGCTGGCCTGGCAGGCTGGGCCATGGGGAGAGGTCAGTACAGAAGGTTGAAGGTCATAGGTTGTTGTGTGACAGACAGGGACTTACAGGACAGATTAGAATTGTGATTGGGTACGACTTCAACTAGAGACCTCCTGTTTATGTTTTTTTGTACAGATTGCAGTATGGAGGTTTCTTCAATGGCGGTGGAACAATTTTCATTGTGGGAGCCATTTGTGGAATGCCTTCTTTCCACATAAAAAAACAAAATTAATGTAAAGACAACAGAAAAGGTTAAACCAGTGGTGCGGATAAGTCACAGGCAATTAGAACAAGCAAACTATCAAGCTGGAAGAGGCTTCCATATTTAAGGCTATGTCTGTATCAGCAAATGCCCACATATTTGCTTCTGGCCTCACCCCAGACCTTGCTCTACATGCAAGATTTGGACATGGTTTGGTATGTAATGCATTACCTTTGCCGTCTTTTCACCAGTGTTCGGCAGCCTGCGGGCCAGGTCAGCAGTCTCGGACCGTAACCTGCCAAGCCTATAGCCCGGATGGCTGGGTCATGCGGGCAGATGACAAGACCTGTCATCAGGAGAGCAGGCCGCAGGACATCCGATCCTGCTTCATCAGTCTGTGCTCCTCCGACGTGAGCTGGATGATGGGGCCCTGGAGTCAGGTAAGAGCGCCCTCTTGTGACATTTACCCTTTAGTGTCCACGCTGCTTGGCTTGTCTAGACCAATGTGGAGCAGTTACAGAGTGGTGTAAACTTCGGAAAAAGGAATTATTTATCTGAGTGCCTGCTCTGATCCTGAGACATTTTGAAGTCATGGTTAAACCCACTGAGTTAGTCAACAGGTTATTCTGTTACAGCCAGTGGTTGCTTGAGCACACTGCAGCATTGAATTTGAGTGCGATATCTTTGATGTGAGCACAAGAACAGTGGTTACGTTTCCTGGAGCAAACAATTTTGTGTACTCTTTACTAAACATGAACAAGAGTTCTCCAGTTCTTCAACACAGCTCTTTCCACAGTTACTGCTTGGGAGAGACAGGATGCGATGTGCATTATTAAATGCTGTTGTTGATTTTCTGTGTTCAGTGTTCCAAGGATTGTGGCGGAGGTGTCAAGGAACGCAAGGTTCAGTGTCGGGATCGCCAAGGGAGACGACAGCCTGCCAGTAGCTGCGGACCACCCACCATCCGGCCAGAGACGAGGGACGTCTGCAATCATGAACCATGTAGGTCAATCAAAAACATGGCAAGCTTTGACATTCTTGCTCTTCTATTGGCTGTGTGCAGGACCGAAAGAGGGCTTTGCTAAATTAACCTTACAACAAGGCCTGTTGCCAAAGTTGTCGTGGTGTCTTTCTGTAGTTCAGCCCTGTCACCAGCCTTAAGCATTGGGGGAAGGGGACACAGTACCAGCTGGGGGGCGCATCACAAGAATAATGGATAATTTGATGCTTATGGTTGTTTTTTTTTGGGGGGGGCTACAGCTGCTTGCATGGAGGTGCGGGCTGGCCTTTCCTGGTCCTCCCTGATGGGCAGGCCTGCTTCAGCTTTATCTTGGTTGCAGTCGTCAGATTTCAGTACTAATAGAATCAAAATGCTCAAAACTACAGGCCAGAGACCAGCTAAGTTCTCCCTCCCTGCCCCACTGAAGTCTTTCCCCTTTAGCTCATCATGCCTGTTTTCTTTTTACTAGGTCAGCCTAAAAGCTGTCGCGATATCCAGCTGCAACGCAACCTACATGATGACCAGGAGTATTCCATTCTGGTACAGGGAAGACCATTGACTGTCTACTGTCACAGCATGACAACCGAAGGTCCCACAGAATTTGTCACCTTACCAGCAGGAGAGGTGGAGAACTTTGCCGAGATATACCCAAAACGGTGGGAACCTCAAACATTGTTGCGAATCTGAAACATTTCAGGATAGGATGTGACCACAAGGTTACACATTAAAGTAGGCATTTTTGTACCAGAATATGAATGGCAGATTGCAGCGCTAACATAGTTATTAGAAACAGTTAAGAAACCAGTTTGAGTTCTCTTCTGAACAACTAACGTGGGGGGGACTGTAATCTTTGCTACCTGTTTGAATCATGGTATCTAATTTCTTTGTGTTCCTGTCTTGGTCAGATTATTACGAGCTACACAGTGTCCATACAATGGCAATCGCAATGATGACTGTGAATGCACAGATGAAGGACACAGAGAAGCTGGATTGACGACGTTTACCAAGCTGAGACTGAACATCACCAGCATGGAAATCATAAGTAAGACAGAAATCTCTACTATCATGTTATGGTTTGAAATCTCTCCAGTGTAGGAAGTGGGTTGTTGCTTCAAGTCAAGTTTGAGCAAAGGAAAAAAAATATAAATGAATTGAATAAAGTTATAATAATTCAAATCACATAGCTTGAAAAGGAGGGAAAGAAAATCAAATGATGAGGACGTTTTGCACTGTAATTATTTCAAAATGAGCAAAATTTACTAAGCTGTTTGCAACTGTTATTTGGTACTGGCCAGCAGATTTCTGGCTTGTGTAGAAAGGACTCGGAAAAAGTCTGCTTTTTCCAGTTTGAGTGCTCGGCCATAGGGTCTACACACTTTTCATGTTATCAGATATTGATGTGGTCTGGCTTGTGTATGGTGTGCATAAGTTGTGCCGAGAAAAAGTTCTCAGTGTCACCCAATGGGAATGATGGATTGTAACCATCTGGGTAACAACATCTGAATTGACCCTTGAGGAGCCAGGGTGCCAGGCACTACTTGGAAGTAGGAAGGGGTCTGAAAAACAAGTTCGTTTCCCAGGAAATGCCCCATCCATCAGCCCAAGGCGGGATTGCCTGTGCCGGCTCGCGTGCACTCGTGTGTGTGGCCTCTGGAGAGTTTGAGAGATGGACCTCGAGAGATCCTCCTTGAGATAATGGATGACTTCAGTCGCTGCAGGGAACTCTAGCATGATGTTGAAGAGAGACAACTGGGTTTGGGAAAATGCCGAGCTGTACAGTGTGTATTTGGATTTAGGGATTGCTGTACGTGGTTCAAACTTTGAAAGAAAATTATGTAGTTGGATTGATATGCAAATTAAATATCGGATCAGTTTGGTTTGTACTGTTTCTTTGTAAAACTGCATGAAATATTGAAATTTTTTTCAAACGTACAAATGTTGCTGGTACAGTGTGTAATTTGAACACAGCCGAACATTTGAAGTGTGTTGTTGATAACGGATTTATAGAAACACTCAACCGCCTACAAGTGTTAACGAATTACTTTTGCCCTCAAGTGACAGTATGCAGCGGTGTCTGCTTACTTCTCTCTAGGAAAAAAAAAAAAGGTAGGCTTTCCTTAGTTGGACTTGAACCCAGCTCGGGACCTCTTACTTAGTTGTAAGACTTTTTCACTTTAGCAGTGAAATCTCTTTCTTAGTGAGAGTTCAAACTCAGTGTTGCAGCAGACACCACAGTCACTCATTTTGTGTCTGGTGATATAAATTGAGTTTTGCCTCAGCTGAGAGAGTGTGGTACTTTTTTGTATACAATGCCATCTCTGCTTGCTTTCTTTCCAGTATCGGATGGCACTTTTGCCGATGTGCGTTACGGCAAGTTTGTCCCGTACGCTACAGCAGGCGACTGCTACAGCTCGTCTGATTGCCCGCAGGGCCGCTTCCACATCAATCTGATCGGTACCCAGCTGGCGTTGGCCCCCGAGGTAGACTGGGGCACCGAGGGCTATGCCGTCTCCAGAAGGCTAGCCAGAGACAGGGTCAGTATTCCGCTAGCTTTCTTCTGTTTCAGTTCCCCTTGTGCGTACCGACAGGATACCTTTTTGTCATGTGAACATGTTTTATGGCAGGGCTCCCACGGTCATGAATAATGCAGAAAACTTCTTTGAAGTTGTTCCGGAAAATCATGGAACATTGGGGGGTGGGGGGAATAGGGTGTCTTCGATCCCCTTGTCAAAGGAAAAAGTCATGGAAATCCTGATCGTATAGGGGTGATTTTGATGGGCTGCTTTTAATTTGATAAGGAATTGTGATAAATTCACAGGCTGTATCTTTGCTAGTCTATAGTAATGGCTATGGCAGTCATCCAGTTCATAATTCCAAACATCTCTGCAAAATGACCTTAAATGTCATGAAAAGTGTCATATTTAGTCCTGGAAAGTCCTCAAAACGTTGTGGACTTTGGTTTTCAGGTTTCTTTGGAAACCCTGCATGGGATTATAGTGAACTGCAGAGGGCAGCCTTGCAAGCTACCTCAGGAAGTCAACCTGTTAAGGGACAATTTCATGGAATTCCTGAGCACAAGCATTTGCTCACCAGAAAACAATTTCCCATAATGTATAGCACACATGTGCTTGGGAAAAAAAGGGAAAGACTACCAGTCACAGTGCTGTGCAAAGTGTACTGTATATTGCTTGAGACTGTACTGTTCTTAGTTTTGCTTAGCACAAGAATCGGCTCAGCAGTGTTCTCTTATATGCTAAGCAATGTTTGCACAGTTCATTGTTTTACCTCGGTCTTGTAGAGATATGTTGACCGAGTACTTCCAATGAGTAAGGGATTATGAGTGTTGGATTAGCTGATTAATACAGGCATGTAAGACGTCTACAGTTGGGGGAAGGGGTGGGCAAAAGCAGAGCTGTTTATAGAGAGAGTTGCAGCACGAGTGTCTAGATTTATTAGAATCAAATGGTGTATAATGCATCGGTTCACATATTAGCACACAAAAGCTGTATTCTGTAATGCACACATAATGGACAGCCATTTTGGTTCCAAAGTCCAAAGTTGGCACCACTCTCTCTATATACAGCTCTGGGCAAATGGATTCAACCTTGCATTGGAGTCTGAGTCAGTTTGCAAATGAATAAAAACACTAGGATTCATTCTCATAGATGCCAAAGTTTCCACACCAGATATTTTAGCATAGTGGGAAAAAAAAGAGAAAGGTTCACAGTGATGAACAGAAATTGTGGATTGTCATCTGTTGAAGTTGTTCACTTGTGATTATCCATTGCTATGTTACATTTGTTTATCACAGTTGAACCAGCGGGTGGCTGGTCGGTGTGGAGGGTACTGTGGTACATGTTTCCCAGACAAGAGGAGAGGAGGATTGAGAGTAACGTTTGTGTCATGACACTCAGGTGAGAGCATAGGGAACACCTTGATCCCTCCAAAATCCCACTCAAGTCAACCTACATGAAAATCAACACACATGTATCGTCCTTTGGTTACTGTTACTGATTATTTTCACCTGAGATCTATGGTGGAATGCGTAGTGCAGGATGAAGTTTCTTGCAGTATTCTGATCTAACTGCTTGATGTCTAAATAGTCCAAGCATCATGGCATTTTGTGTTCAGATAGCTCAGCTAAAATTTCAGTTGCTGAACCTCTTTAATTCTTGACAGAACAGAAAGTTGCATGAACCCAAATGTAGTCCATAATCCACTCAGTTCAAAATAAATTTTTCACGCACGTTTGGGGTTAGGGGTGAGGGATAAATGAAAATGTCGATTTTATAGCAGTTTTTCTTCTTTTCATTTTTCTACAGGGAATTTCACTAGGTTTGGAGTCACAAGCGTGTAAATATTCCAGAGTTTATTTTTCTTCCCGCCAAGATGTAATATAATTAGATGACATTATTGTAATTTTTCAGAACATTGGTGCTGACGTCCCAGTTACGAAGCAATTCCTCCACATGAGACCTTGAAAACTGTACAAATGTCCATAGTGCTATTTTTATTTTGTTTTTACTTACTTCATGTATATCTTCAAAGATTAGATTCCTAAAATTGTAATCAAATGAGAATTTGTCTCGCGTGAAATGAAATAGGTGGTGAAATAAAATGGCTGGTGAAATAATGGTCCCTGAACATTGGTGAAGGTTTGTTTGACCCGTGATGTTCATGGTGTTCTTACACATAGCCAAGTAGAGGTTGAGCAGCTCAACTTGACTGGATTTTGTGTAGTTTGACTAAACTTTGACAAGGGACCAAGCAATCAATTACATCGTGCTTAATACTATTCCAAGACTCCAAGTGAATTTCGTTATTTGCTTCAAAAGCATTTTGTTGTCAGCCAGTGAATAATTGCATTCTTCCAAGGAAACAAAATCCGGTTTTTAAAAGTCCAAGTTTTCTTCAAAATGTGCATGAAGTATTTTGAACAAATGGGGTCATCTTGAGAATGCGTGGTCAGTAATGCATGTTTGCGATTTCTGTGGGTTTTGGCTTTGTTTTATTCTGGGTTTTCAAAGTTGACCTGGTAACATTCAGTAACACAGTGCTGTAAGACAGTACTTTCTGTGACAGAGACACTGTGTAAAACAGCATTTGCAAATGGAATCTGAGGAGTTTTGGTTCTGCAAGTAACAAGAATGTGTAAGAAGCTGTCATACTGTGCCAACCTGCCTCCTCGGGTTTTTTTCCAGTTTGTCTTTTCCAAGTGTATCTTTTTAAACTGCATCAGATTTGTTTCAATACACTGACCAGTAAGGTGTGAATATTTAATGACTATTTTCGTTTCTCAGTTTTTCTTTTTCTAGTTTATTAAGATGAGAAATCACATAAATAAATTGAATCAGTTGTGCAGTGATATACATAAAGTATCTTGCCCCAAGAACAGCTGCAGACGGAGGTGAAGATTTTACCTTTGCTTTCTTATATTACCTCAGATCTTAGGCCATTTGAGTACCTCATTCTGCCACACAGACCAATGCAAGCTGTTGATTTTAATGTTGAGTCCATTACATGCGTATTCATTAAAATACTTTTTTCATGATAATGTAATTCCCACCTTTTTAAGCTTTAAAGAATTTGATGTACAGAATGAATGACTTGGAGCAAAACTTACACTCTGCTGTATTCCAAAAAAAAAATGCAAATCAGTTTTACTGCATAGTTTCCCCTGATGTTGTGTCATTTACTTCAAATATTACTTGTGCTTTCTTTATCACATTTTTTGTCTTTCTGAAGATATTTATTTTGTCTTTCGAAGCCAGCAAAGAGGTAATATAGGAGAGTCCGAATAAAATACATACAGAGTGTCTGCTTATGATTCAGGCATCAAGAGATATAGTTTCTGGTGTCAATGTTAATATCATTGGTGAATTGTTTATAGCAGAGGTTTGTTGGTGCTTAGAAACATGGATGAAATATTTTTCTTTATCCGGTTTGTTAGTATGACATCATTGCAACTCAATTGAGAGCCTCTTTCAAAGTGGCAGTGGAATGGTTGGAACTGGAACTTGAGAAATGTAAGGTTGGCGTATCATGCAATGATTAGCTCTTGTAATCTGTAGAATATGCGTGTCCATGAAGCAGTTATTAATGAACCTAGTTGATCTGGTGTATGTGCTGCCAATATTGACATCGATAAGTCTTTCATTTCCAATAGGTTATCAAATGGTGCTTCAAGCAGAAGTATCGAGTCAGTCAAGATTTCCTTTTTGCTCATATTCCATAAGCTGCTTTCCTGATTCATTCCTGAATATTCAGAGATGTGTACCGAGGTGGTTCCATGTTCTGCTGTAATGCCCAAGTTAACTAACTTTTGATAATGCCAATGTGGAAACCCGTGTGAACAGTTTTAATGGTTAACCAGGGCCCAACAGAACCAAATTTATTGGCTTGATTCTTAGAGTGTTTACAAATTGTAGAATCCTAGTCTTGGATCTAGACCTGCATGGTATCACAACAGAACACCCCATTTATGATTTACTTTTTTCTTTACATGATAAAGTATAAGGGCATATGATTTCAATTTTTTTTATGTGCCTCTTTTAGAACTGGCCCGACCAGACAGAATTCAAATCTCATTTAGCCAGCTCCTCGTGAGGCCGAACCAAGGAGATTGGGTTGCAAAATTGTAAATAACTGTTGATAATGAACAGTATTTATTTATAAATATATATATTCAAAAAATAAGTTTGGGTTTTTTGCTGCATATTGGCTGAGGGTCTATCACAAGCGAGCTTTAGGGAGATAATATTATGCATGAATAGTGTGCCCATAGATCACATTAATTGAAATATAGCTTTTATATGTTTATGAAATGTTTGAGAATGTAGCATTTTTAGTTAATGTATGGTTTCCTGATTTGCCTTAATAATCAGTATTGCATTCACTGAATTTGTATTCCTAAAAGCCAAGTTTCATGGAAACATTTTCAAAAGCAGCAAATAAAGTTTTCTGACTTCTGGATACCAACAAAACTTATCCCTTGAAATAACTGAGATGGTCTAGGCTAGGTTTTTTTTCTCAGGAAGAAAAAAATCTAGAATAAACAGTTGAAGAATAGAGGCACAGCTTGCATCCAGCAGTGTTTTGGGCGTAAAAGAAGTCTCAACTTGCTTAAAGTTCAAGAAATGTCATTGAAGAAATAAAGCTGAATAAGGACAAATATTAAATTCACTTGTAAGTTTGGCTTTTATTGATTGGTTGGTGGGTAAATCTGAGGCACACCTCTTCAGAAAAGTGAAAATAAAAACGTATTTGACGAGCATAATACAGGTAATCTTTAAAGGGTACTGCTCTTTCCACATATACAGCAACCCTGACAGTGAAATAAGATCTTCCAATCCTATATATTCCGATATAATTTGTTTCAATTCTAAACTTTTATCTACTAGTAAACCTTTGAACTTCATAAACGATAAAATAAAGTCTTCTTTTGTTTTAATTGCTAGCCCTCGACATTTTAACCGAATGTTAGTAACTAGAGCTAGAAAATAATACAACACAGTTCATATGTCATAAATGAGACCACTCCCAAAACCAGTCATGAGTAACAGGGTGAATAGAGACAAAGGATTGCTTTTGTAAATTTGCTGCAGTCCATTTAAATAGGCTCTGTCTTGAAATTCAGACTTGACGTATTTTGTTGGTCTTGTGATGGATTTTAAGAGGACCTAACTGTAATACTTCCTTGTATAGACTGATAGGAAACTTAAAAATGATGGGGGGGGGCATGTGTCTAGTGATAACAAGGTCTAAGAATGAAACAAAATATTAAAGCCTTGCTTATATAGATGAAAAAACCAATTTAAAGTACAGCACAGTATTTTTATAGAAAAGAAAGCTCATTTCAGTTGGTGAAAATATGAGTAATAACCGCTCCTATTTAGCATTTTGGTTTTGATTTTCCTTTTTTTGGGGGGGGGCAGGAAACACTAGATAGCCAAATTTTAACACATCAATCAAGCACCAATGGTGGAATTATTTTCTAAGTGGGGGCCAGTTGTTAGACCATCAGGCATCAGCTATTAAATAGGTTGATCCATGCTGTCCCATCCAATTACAGGACCTGCAAAGATGCCCCACCCCCCATTTCCACGGCCAGTGTGGTACAGGGATTCCCTTTGCATCCTTCAAGCACGATACCCAAATACTAAAATATTTACTGTAACTTAGCAATAAAGAGAAACATTTCTCTGCATTTTACTTAAACCTATCCAAAACATGTTTTAAGGACAGACATGGCGGTGAAAGCCTAAGTATGTTAAAATGAAACTGTTTAAAAAGAACAAAATTTCTCCAAGATCCTTGTCCATTAAAAAGGCTGCTCGGCAAGAAAATGAACTTCTGGGACATCTGGACAAACCAGACTCCATTTTTAGTCAGTTGCTAGCGTGACATATCTCTTGTCAGTTTCAGAGAAGTAGAAAAGACAGAGATTTTACACGTGATATTGGCCTCATGCACAGCCCACAAGAGTGCATTGTCATCTGTCTGGGCTGTGGATAACTGTCATCATTTCAGACATTTTGTAATTTCACATCCAATGCAACTAATGCCCATTAAGCTCCGGAAATATATGATATAAACCATGAAGTGCTTAGATCTCATCCGGGAAGACCTTATTTGATCTGGCTAGCTCTGACGAGATTAGTAAGATCTAGCTGGGTCTATGATAGTCTTGAGCTCTGGAATGAAGACCAAAGTTGAAACTAAATAACTTCCTCTTCTTTTCAAAGAAATAACTTTCTTCTCACATCAACCTGGACTGATGGTGTTCTATGCAGAGCCATTTACAGAATCTCACCAACACCGTCTCATTCACATTGATCATCACTTGGCTACTGCCTTACAGGTACCACGCTGTCACTGTCAATCAATTACTAAAGTTTCCTCAGCGCTTTTTTGGGGGGGGGATTTTTTGGAACAAACTTCTCCCCCCCCCATTTTTTTTTAATTACATGCAGAAGTTATCGGAAAAAAAAGACGAAACAATCAGTTCTGCTCACCTCTGCATATTTACAGGACAAAAAAGTAAAAACAGGTTATCACAACATGATTTTGTTGCCCTGTTGCTAACATAAAGGCCAAGCTCTCTTTCGAGACTGTGCATTATCCATTGACATTTCTTCCAGCCAGTGGTGTGCAAACTATTAACAAACTGTGGTTGAAAGTGACTGCAAAAACAAATGAATACATGTATTTCACTTATACCAAAAATATCTTGGAATTATAAAATTGGATTATCAGCCCCAAAACCTAAATGAGAATACCTTCCTTAGCATGTATAAATGTGCAATTATGGACACCATGGTGACATCTGAGCCAAGTTACGTCCAACCACATGAACTGGGGTTTGATGAACACACAACTAAAAGGCCAGTATTAGAACAGCTTTGGGGCAATTCCACTGAACAGAGAGTGGAAAGGTTGTGTCAACTTGTAAGAATAACAATGCCAAAGTTGAATCAGTGTGTATGGATATGCCTAAACTAAAAAAATGGAGATTTCTGATCTTGCATGACTATTCCAAGTAAATTCGGCCTGTGAACAAGTACGATGCTTTTGGTCATGCAATTAGTTGCTTACAGTCTCTGTTACAATACATTAGACAGGGGCTGTGTTAGCACAAACTTCATGAGTGTGCTTAAGACAGCTATGAAATTACTGACCCACAGAAAGATTTCTGACAACTGCTTTCCTGATTTCAAGACACAGGGGGGAGGATAAATTGAGCATGGAAGCAAAGCAAGCAACAGCAGTGTTTACACATAGAGGGCGCTCTTTCAATTCAAGATAACAAGTGAGCTCTTTTGAGATGCCCTATTCGTGCTCATCGATTAGAAGCAATGGCATAACTATGGGGTAGGGAGTTGATTCAAAATCTGGCCGAGAAATTTGTCAATCCATTCAACTGTTCATTTGAAATCTTGGTGTAAATGAAAATTTCACACAGGCCACTTTTTCAGGCAGTGCCCCATGAAAGAGAATGTGCACCAGTAAGTGTAGGCCGACCAAAACATGTAACCATGATTGCAACACTGATTCTAAGTGACACTGCCATGCTCAGATCTTCATATATGAGACAATTTTTAATGATAAATGCATGCTGCAAACACTGTTCTCTGGGTGAGGGTGCAAAAAGTTTTCATAGCAGGTCTGCATTGTGGGAAAAAAGAGGACATTTCTTCCGGAACACAGAAGGTACCTCTTTCGACTCTGAAAGAACACTTTAGCACTTACCTATTTTAACAGCACAAGTCTGCAGATTTTGCATAGCTGTCAAGATAAAAAGTCCTTGAAGGTGCTATTTTATAATTTTATTTGAAGCAAGCAGCACACAAAACCTTGCACAGTAACGGTGAGCAGCACAACTTCATTAGGATGGCATTAACTTTTGTGGAGTGGCCTGCCCTCTTATCGCCAAACCCCGGGGAACACCGCCCTCTAATGTCTTGTGTGTGGTGGGATGAGCTGACGACAGTTGTCTCCCTTGCAGAGTTGAAGCAGGACTAGCAGTTTGTGCATGGCAGCCAGGTCGGGCGGTTTGACCGACTTGATGGTATTGGTCAGCTGGTGAGGGTCTTTATTCAGATCATAGTATTCTTGGAAAGACTGAAAAATGAAACATGGCAGAAAAGTGAGAAGAGTCAATGGCACTCTTGTGTGAGGAAAGAGCTGCAAGAAATGTCAATGTGAAATCCACACTGCCATCAAACTTGAGAAAAAATGATCTCAGTAATTTGAAAGTCTGCCTGGTTCACTGTGAAGATTGAGAGGTTGATACCTAGCACTCATCTAAGAATGACTTCCCAAGGCTAAATTTAATACTCAAATGTTCTGTAAGTTGTCTCAATTTCACAACTTATTGATTGAATTTGCTGACAGACCTCCCCCTCAACCCCCAAAGTCATACATTCTACTTGCTACATGCAACCCCACTGGTAGTGTAAAAGCCAATCAAATCCTGAATGCTTGTCCTCTGGCAGCTGAACAGTCGCACAAGAAAATTCTGCAGTTGTCTTGTGAAACCCTGTTACTATTTATTCAGTAATTACAACCTGAACAACTATGTGAACAGTACCTCCTCGTCCTTTAATTCGCAATACTCATAGTTGGACTTAGTGTCTATATGCCGTAGGCAGCTGTATGTGTTGTTTCGGCTATCTTCACACACACAGTCAGGGTAACATTGCTGTATTGTGTCATCAACAAGCAATAACAGGAAGGAAAAGAGACATAGTTTGTAACCAAATCTACAAAACCTTTGCCAACTCTTTCTCAAGGCATGGCACTTAACTGGTGCAAAGACGGCAATTATCTGGTCTGATGTGGTTTGAGGTCACATTCACATTTCTTGATTTCTCAGCATTTCCATAAGAAAAGCTTGAGTTTCACTGAGTTTGCAAGTTTATGCACACAAGATGACTGCCAAATCCACGGAACAAACGTTGACCAAGGTAGAAACTTGGGTCTATTCAATGTGCCATGAGAGAGAGACGGCAATTTAGAATAGCTGTTAACTGGAAAATCTAAAGGCATTTAATCTTGATACTTTCTCTGCCAGATTCTGATTGGCAAATAGAAAGCACCACGACAACTGCCTCTAGCCTTATCCAGCAATCAGCATGTTGACTGATATTGACCATAGTACCTCAGAGTCGCTAATTTCACAATACATGGAGCTGACGCCAGGGTGGATTGAACGAAGGCAGGAGTAAGTGTTGTTCTTACTGTCCTCACAAACGCAGTTTGGGAAGCAGTCCTGATGAGTCAAAGCCCATGGTCCAAGCAAAGTATGAGCAGTAGCAGAAAAGAAATGGAAGCAATTTTGATGGTTTCTACGATATCGTCACGATGCAACTTTTTTGTGATGAGCCTTCAAGTAAATCCCTAAGATCATTTTAACACCAATTTTGTTAAAACTGGACACACTGTTCTGGCTAGATTCCTTTTTTTCCCAAGACAGGTCAGCCCAAAGGTTAACTTTCTCACTGACAATTTCAATGGGCCATGGGCAAATGGGCCGTCATGTACTGTAGATTACTGTAACAACAAAATTCTACATCAGATTGAAACTTGGCAGATGTGCCAGATTCCAAAAAGATTGGCATGGGACAGCCAAGGTTTTCTTTTGGGGGGGGTACAATTCTTTTCTTTAAATCTCAGTTTCTTTCGCAAGTGTCGTGTGGGCTTTGACATGGCCCAAATTACTTGCAGCATCTCATCACATTTCATCGTCCTTTGAGGTAAAAGCAAAGAACTGATTTTGATGTTATAAGTGGTAATTGTTAGAAAGCTGGTGGACGGCCAGAGCAAGACAGTACAACATAAAATCAATGATTTTAGAAAGCGTGATATGAACATTGCAAAATAAGAGAGAAGATAAAGCTGGGTTGTTTTTCTAAACAGTCTTTATCATTACTACTCACTATATGAAATGTCGTCACATTGTCTTGATATCCATCGGTATACATATATCCAAGTGCAATGACCATTTTTGCATGAATGACCAATACCACCTCCAATGTTCACAGGGCTTGATCTTAAATGCAAATACTCAATCACCCAGTGGGTTCAGGCGGTGATGCATTAGGAATAATTCAGAGACAAATTTTCTCTTGGAAGTTAGAGTCGAAGTCTTTTGACTTGCCAAACGGTGAGGTTTGAGCACACACTGAACATCACCATTTCCATCTATTTATCAAACTATAATGATATTATTTCTTTGTCGTTCACTGTGTTTTACTTAAGACTGGTCTTAAGGGACTTGTGATGGACACGACTACAACGCTGGATGAGAGTGTTTTCAATAGCTTTATGTACTGATGATGTACGACAGTGTTTACGGCAGTGCATGGTGAGATAGAATGAGGGTCATTAACCCTAACCCTACATAATACCACAAATTACTACTTGTAGTAAAATGTAGTAATCAGTGCTGCCGCTTGTAAGAGGACATGACCGTGTTGTTCTCTGAAGCCATAAAATACGATAGAAGAGACAATGTACCATACAGTGCTGTGGCACTATGAATGTATGGCTTTATTGTTCTCTGTATGAGTAACAATGGAAGTAACCTAGCCAGAAGTAGTGATCTGTAGCGCTAGGTCCTTCAGGCTCAGACTATTACTTAGTATTTTGTAGTACTGAGTACTGTAAGCCAAACAATATGCTTGGCAGTTAGGGTTAATGTATATTATGCTATCATAAGTACATGAGTATGATTATATTTGTTTCAAATAGGAAGGAAGTTCTTTTGTGTAACCGTCATTTTGAATCTTCCAGGGAAATTATCCACCACAACTGGAAAAGGTTAAAATCGTGCCTTTCACTTTCTTGTGATCAAATGTAACTTGCACATGCACTATTTATCCTACTTGTGGCAGACGATGACCCCCCGTTCTATCCCACCATGCACTGCGATAAACAAAAGTAATGCGTCATCAGTACATACACGTATGACCATTAATGCAACACAATCTCAAGCATCAGTGTCAATTGCATAAACTGATTCGAGGAAGGATGAGAAAAGTAAATGTTTGATTTGGCTACTTTTGCAGTCTAAACCCCGAAGCAGCTTGCAAGTAACATTGGCAAATCTGTGACAACTAAAACAAACACAGAGAGACATACAGAAATGTCCATACAAATTTGGTTTCAACTTACAGCACAAAGGTCAGTATTTTTACAACCAAAATCTCCATGTGGCAACCACTCTCCCGAGTGTTCTATCAAGAAATCCCGACTCCCCGCAGGCGACTAGGTTGTGCAGTGGAGGGAAACAAAGTGAAACACTGTTTACGTGTCAGTTTCATGGACAAAAAGGGGTCGTACTGCCTTACAAGAGCACTTAAATGTGTCTTCCTCCACGAACAAGATTCAAAGTTGAGGACAATTTCCAGGTAAATTAATTGACTCATCAATCTAATTTATATTTCTAGTTATGACAATGTTCAAAAGATTTATATGACACCTAATTTAAATCGGACCACATTGAAGATTACATGCCATGTAAACATTGTAAAAGAAAACAAACTATCTTTAGTTTTGGGGAAATGAAAATGAACTGATTTCCCAAAGTGGAGGCATGAATTTTGTTTGATTTTATTAAAAATTTTCTAAAGTTGTCCTGAAGACATAGTTTTGGTTTTCAATAAGTGCTACATCAAATTACTGAAAATATATAGTACCACTAAGAATATAAAAACTAATAAACTAAAATGCAACCTGCTAAAATTGATGAGAAACCTACATCCTGTAGGTTTAGAAAACAGTCCCTAACTCTGAATTTCAAATCACATTGGTGCCTAGGGAAACAGAGTAGGCCTTTATCAACTTACTGTGTGTGGATCTGTGTTGGGACAATCTTCAACTGTATTTTCTTCTTTGTTCTTAGTAAGGCAGTCACGTTTATCTTCATCTGATTCTGTTATGTTTGGAATCTGATTAATAAAAATTATTTCACAAAAAGAGTGAGCCGTCCCTCCTTTAATCCGTTCCTCTACACTTTGGTGTAATTTTTGTGCTGTATTTTGACACGAGAAAAAGTTGAAACATTCCAGTTGTAAAATTACAATGCATACAAAGTTGATGAGTTTCATTGCATGTTAGTCAAGGTTATTTTTATCATGGTGCACTTAAGGTCAAATCACCGGCCTACAGAGGGCAGTAACACAAGCAGCCATGGGAAATGCCTGCAGCTGCTAGCCATTGTGGCTTTCATAAGAGCACATGTATATTCAGTCACAGTCACAACGTTTGGCCACTCAGGCTCATGACAAGTGAGCACCAAATGACATATGCAAATGAGATTAATAGAAACTGCATCCGAACGACTTGGGTATGGCCAGTAATTACGCACATGTCTATGGAAACTATTGCCTAATGTTTCAGTACAGATTTTAGCCACACAACGCAGATGCACTTTCTAATGGGAAGAATGCTGTTTGAGGAACAAACAACACAGAGGGACATTGTGCGGCATTATGCAGCTTACCAAAATGGGCACCAGTGATATCCCGTCTACATTCTGTGGGGCTGGGTCACCAGCTAGATGTACTATCGTTGGCATGATGTCAATATTCACGGCGATGTGGTCCGTCACGGTGCCAGCCTTAATCTTGGGACCACGAACCAGCAGGGGCACCCTGATGTCAAACTCGTACAATTGTCGCTTATCCATTGGAAGTGAAAATTGGCCTGACAGTCAAAGTGAAAAAAAAAGTTCTGTACCAATCTTTATTTGAGATTTGAAGCTTTTCATGGTGGAGGTAGCTAGTAAACCAGATAGGTTTGTGGTGACACCATGGAGATATCTCTTTTTCAGCATGTGGGATTCTGAAAAGAACCGCTGGTACTCAACATTTCGGACTGTCTGAAGCGTTGAGTACTATTAAGCTGGAAATAGGCCCTCAGTTACGGTTCCAATTGTATTAAAAAAGCAGAATCCACAAAAATGTTACTCTCATGAAAGAGTTTAAAAGTTCAACAGGCTGAGGATCAATTTTAATGTCTCTGCTAACCGTGAAACGCTGTGCTTATTGTTAACATTCTGCATATACAGTGCCAGCAAAAACATTCTGCACTATGTAAGCACAGAAAAGATGCATCATGCAAGCATGAAATATGCTCATCATTAAAAAGGAATTTTTCTGCTGTGGTAAGCAGGTGCTTTTGCACTGGCAAAGGATTTTCAGCTAAAACTGATTCATTAATCAGTCAAACAAGTAATTAACACAGTAGCTGGATTGTCCAATAAGAGTGACAGGAACACCTCACCTAGATGATAACCATTGTCTGAGGTGAAGATGAAA